ACTATCCATCTTTGCTTAAGAAGTAGAATAGGTTTGTCACGATGTGCAAGGTTCTTTAACAAACCTTAGGTTTCTCTAATAATAGCAGTAATAAAATGAACTGAAATGCTATCTTCTTTTAAGTTATTTAACAAACAACAGGCATCAAAACATTCCAAATAATTCCCCATTATTCTGGGTGACGTGTTGACCGGCAATTTCTCCAAGTTACTTGAATCCATTTGAATTATGACATCAGAAAATATTTGAAATAATCTAACAAAATAGTACGGATCCCAAAAAGTCTAGAAATTTAAAAAGACAAAATCAAAAACTCGAATTCGAAATACCCAGTATGAAATTGTATTGTATTATTATTATATCGGTTTATGCACAACATAAAATATTTACATGTACAGTAAAAGTATTGTTTATTCACCATATATACTTTATGAGGATGTGTCGGGATATATTTTATGCGAAATAACCGGATGCAGTTGTCAGGACGACATCAACTTAGTTATCATGAACTTTAGAAACTTATCAAGTGAATGTTTATAGTGTCTAGTATTATGTCGAGACCACATGGGTTATCCTAGCTTTCAAACAGACTAGTTAATCAATTCTTGTTGAGTTACATGTGTGGGTATTTCTCATCTTACTCATCATATATCTGTAGCTTGTTTCTGTTCTGACTATAAATATTGACTCACGCTTGACTAAATGGAGTTGGTTCGCTGGCTTTCTCCACTGCGCATCGTTTCGCTTTGTTTCGTTTCCTTCGCTTGGTTCCCCTGATTTTTTATTCAGATCAACAATTTCATGAAATATACATATTCAAAAATCCATTCTCGTATTTGACTTATTTAATTCCGTTATTCACTAATACAAGTTAATTCAATGATTATATACGAGGGTAGTGGGAATGTGCATTTCGATAACAGTCAGCAGTCATTCGTACGATCTTAATGAAGTCAGATATCGAACGATAAAACGTTTACCCTAGTCAGTAAATTTTTTTCTCAGTTAGGTGGTCGATATTACACAGAAAAGTCATCACTTACTGTTAAAATTCTAGTAAGAATACAAAGCTTAGTCCATTGAATTATTTTATATCTGACATCTTATTGTCTTTCTAAAACAAAAATGAAAAGTCAAGGGATGGATGTTTAGACATAAAAATATTTATTATTGTGTTTGAAATGATCTATATTTAATAAACCTATCCAAAGCATTTGATTGGTAAGTTTGTGATTAGAAAATTAATTTCTAAAAGGAATCACATAAATAGCTGACAGTCAAATAATTGGAAGGGATCGTGGATGCACACTGCTGAGGAGTCCCATAATAGGACGAAACGGCCATCCAGTGTTTGCAGGTTCGCAATGGTGTTCTCACATCATTCGGTTGATGATCTCAATCAAAATTTTAATAATCTCTACAACCATCGCTGAGATCATGAGTCAATTGAAGCCGGCTAAGTTGTCCAATGGTTAAGTGCTCATGTGCGAGATTGATAGGTCCTGTGTTCGAATCTCGCGTGACGGGATCGTGGATGCGCACTGCTGAGGGGTCCTATAGTAGAACGAAACGGCTGTCTAGTGCTTTCAGGTTTTCCATGGTAGTTTAGCTTCAATTGACTCATGATCTCAACTATTGAGATTACTATAATATCCACAAAACCTCTTCTGAAATAAGATTCATTCTACTGATATTAGCTATGTATTTTACCAAAAAATTAACTTCTTAACTTTTTATCATTAATCGTCATTAGATGAGATTTACCATTAAGTTATTGAAGTTTGAATAGATCCAGCAAAGAACTGATCACTGGATTGAGATAAAACACAATCCAAATAGTTAGTAAAAGCCACTTATATATTTAGTTGGTGAATCTGATTTTATTACCTCTAAAACTTAGATACGAATTCTGAACTTAAGGAAATACATAAGTTATTTGTGAAAGCCTAACCTGATCTTATCCATGAGATTTTGATTGAAATGTTAATTTCATAGAACAATTGCGTCTCTATTAATGAACACTAATTTGTTTTTAATGACTACAAATATGATAGGAGAAGAGAACTGAGTATAAAAAGGCAATGAGAACTCACATGAATATTAATCTGTAAGTTGTATAACATTATTTTAGATGACTTTTAAGGTGTTATTCTAGGATAACTGATACATATCGGGTTACTATCAGAAACAGCACTTCCATTATGATTATCAAGATTTTGTAATTAAATATTATTATACATACAAGCTCTACACAATAGAAAATAATAGGCTCGTCTATATAAATAAACGGAGTATCGAAACTTGACTACTAAAAATATACTGTCTGAGCAACTTAAGATTACAGTATTCGAAGCTTTTTATATTCCATCTCCGACCGACGTGGTTGTACTCCACGAAGCAGCCAGCAAGCATTCTATCTTAGATATTAGTTTTATGATTTAGTACTGTTTGGGTGATCCAGAAAACTTCTCGCAAAAGACAAGATAAGATCAGGAAAACACAAAGAAACATTTTATCCAATCAGCGTTCACTTGAAGTTTAGCCAGAAACATCAAGAAAGTGATAAGTCACATGTGGAGTTTCTGATTGGCTGATTACTATACTGCTACTATGTTTAGTAGCAATCCAGAATCTTCGGGAAACCCAAGGACACCTAAAATACTATAAAAACTCTATATGTTCTGTACAAAAACGAACCTTCAGAGTAAAGTGCTTCTCGTATATCTTGCGCCTCTTCTCTCGTGTTCAGGTCGCTGTGTAGTTCTAGCTTGGGGTTACAAGAATATCTTAGGAACCGAATATAGAGTTCAACTAGCGAGACCTGTCAAGTAGTCGTTAATAATCTACCTATGGTGTACCACAATTTATTCCATTATTTTGTTAGTATATAATTCACTGTTCAATAAACAATAAGTGTCAGCTTAGTTTTCTACAATAAACGATAGTGAATTTTCATGTGCTTAACACATGGACTGACTCCGCATAATAATAAGTACTTTCACATGCTAAAAGAAATTTAATTAAATTTGTGAACATTTATGTAAATTGAACTTAGTGCATAGTCGTATGTGAGCTACCTTTACAACTACTGGTTCATTTCAAGATTGGTTACAAAACCACTCCATTTGTTAAGAAATGATCCTTACTCGGTCAATAAATATATCTCCGCTGTCTCATTACGGCTAACTTCAGAAATATTATTCATCACATAACAGTCTTGAAAAGTGAAGAACTGATATGACCTCTAGTAATAGTTGACAAACACTACTTTTAATTACTTACAGGTATCATTACCAAGGTTTGATTTGATAATTTCGAATAAATTGAGCATTGGGTTGATCGTTATAAATAAAAATAATATATTTGTAAGAAAATAGTGTAAGCAAGATATAAATAATGAGTTGTTGGAAGCTTCTCATTACCAGTATATATTAATTATGAACATTCAACTATTATTATTATTATGAAACTTTGGTATTGTAGTGCATAAGTAGTATGTAATAACAATCATGAGTGGAGAACGTAGCAACAGAAGTGTATAAAGGTCAAGTGAAAGAAGAACAAAAAAAAACAGAAATGCAAATAGAAAGAAATTGTGACTTGAAAGAATGTGAAGGTTAAATGATGGAATTTTACAATAGAATTATTTAGTGTATAGTTCTAGCACGGAACTCAACAATGCACATCCACAATCCCGAGTCCTTCGGTGTCGCTCGCGAACGATTAACATCGAAACAACTGAGTAAGCATCCAATGGTGTTAATGTCTAACCTCAGCCAATCCACGAAATTGCACGACCATCTTCCATTATACTAAGGTAGATACCTATCTCTACCCAATACGGATTAGCTTCACTGATCATGGCTTCTCACTAGAACTCCGAGAATTCCTTCACTTTGCTAGTCACTAGTAAGCACATAGTAATTATCATTATAACGAAAATGTTTTTTATGGAAAATTATAGAATGCGAACTATACACTAAATAATTCTATTGTAAAATTCCATCATTTAACCTTCACATTCTTTCAAGTCACAATTTCTTTCTATTTGCATTTCTGTTTTTTTTTGTTCTTCTTTCACTTGACCTTTATACACTTCTGTTGCTACGTTCTCCACTCATGATTGTTATTACATACTACTTATGCACTACAATACCAAAGTTTCATAATAATAATAATAGTTGAATGTTCATAATTAATATATACTGGTAATGAGAAGCTTCCAACAACTCATTATTTATATCTTGCTTACACTATTTTCTTACAAATGAATATTGATTCATGTAGTCAATTAATCAATTGTAGTCATAAGATTAATTAGGTCACTATGTTCGTTTTAGTTATATTTTATAAAGTAGTGTTTATTATCACATAGGAACAAAATGAACCAATCAAAATAAGATAACTTTCTATTATTATTTTGATTTACTTAAGGTAACTCTAATCTATTCATCATTCAGTTACTCATTCAATATAATGGTCAAACATACAATTGATTTTCCAGGTTTTTCATGGTGGTCTAACTTCTATTTGATTAATTTTGCTTAGTTATTTGAATATTTACAGTTATGATTTGTGAGTTTGTCTAACTGTGGCAATGATTTCATTATGAAATTTACAAACGATATGCTATAACTTAAAGGTTTTTTAAAATTTCATCCAACGAACATTGTATTCACATGTTAATTTTTCCCAGCAGGAACACATTATCATGATAACATTAATATACAAAGTTGAAATTTTAATAAATAACTATTAGATTTTGTCAGATTAACAATATAGTAATTATTGGGTGAACAACTAGCCAAATACATTCTCGTATTTGTGAACATCACCACTCATGGTTGACCACAAGACAAAAGAAAATAAGAAGTTGTATGTTGACTCATTTACTTGATACTGGTCATAATTTCGAAAAAAATTCAACTGCTTACAACCAGGAAAAAGAGAAAGGGTGAGAGTAAGCAAACTTTGTAATTGATTTCAATGAACTATTGCAGTTTAATCATTTAGAATTAGGTGATGCAAGTCAACAATTTCGTTCATTGGATGATATATATTACTTCGGTGGACAACAAACCTCACCATATGAAGTATTAATATCAAGCAAAGAACATGGTTTATCTCCTGGTGATTTAGTCCACTTCCATGGTAATCATTGGAATGGTTACGCAAAGGTTGAAAAATTGAATACTAATCGTAAAGTAATGGCACCAGCATTTAAATTCTCTCCAAGATTAATAACTGCTCCTATGATCGGTGCACACGGAAATCGGTCTGAATTTATTATTGATTATAAATAATTGTATTTTTCTAAATAGGAAGATTATTTCGTTCATGTTTTTCTTCTTTCCTTTGTACCACTAACTTACTGATTTATGGTTTTATATTTGAAAGACATCGAACCTCATTTTTTTATTGTAGCGTCGATGCTCTCAGCTAAAGACTTTACAGATCAAGTTGAAGTTGATCTACATATATATGGCAAGTATTGTGGAGCGTATGCTTTTCTGACTTCATTGTATACACGCAAATGTTTATACACATATCCTGTGGTCTTGATGTGATATATATTGACTGCACAATTGTATGATTGGTGTTTGTTTGTTGGTTTTTTTTGTGTATCGTGTATACCATGTTTTGTAGCTTAGTGTGTAGTGTACACATTAGAGACGGTGTGCTTTATGTACCATTGATGTGTCTGATGTTTTAATGAATCTTCTGGTCTATCATTCTCTCTTCCTTGTTGTCCAGATTTAAAAAAATTGTTGGTTTAATGTTGACATATGCCAGTATAATATGAACTGGAGGAATGTGTTGCTCTTTGCTATCGACCTTAGTTGGTCGACGGAATAGACTGTTAATCATATGTGAAGAGATTCCACTACTTCACATCTACTTGAAGTTTTTGCTGATCATTTTATTCAGAAGGTGAATGAAAGGTTCACAATTAGACTATCCAACCCAGAGAATGAAACTCCACTGAAAGAATCCACCTAAACTACAAATATTACCATCTGACAATCATCTTCCGTTATCTTCGGGGATAACCGGTTACATAAAACGAAATTAGTGAAATTAGTGACTTGATCATGTGAAATGAATTGAGGATTGAGTAGATCGATATTAATAAAAATAATATATTTGTAATACCCTTATGAGTAAGAAAAAAAATAGGGTTCTTAAATTTCTGAAGTTTCGTGACTCAGTGTAAGACAATTCTTTAGAGAATAAATAACCAAATTAAATAAACCCAAGTTTAAATAGTACAAACGAACAAAGCAAGAATATTAATGGAAGGATAGCTACAAAAATGACTGTTGACAATATACAGATAAATGCCTATTAATGAAATTCAGTACTTTGCATTTATCGTGTCTGGGGCTAATACGAGGTAAACAAGCTTTGGAATTTACCTTTGGTACTTTTTGTCAGTATGAAACCACTACATGTTGATCCTCTAGCTTCCATAGAAAATGTGAAGATATTTATAAAAACAACTTATAAATCAACAATGAATAATTAGTTCAGTGGGAGTAATCAACAGATCGTGAGTTACAATGAAACTGCTATATCGGGATAAATATAAAACGAAAGAGAACTTTCGGAACGATCCTACATGAAGTTATTGTTGACATTTTTTGTTGTTCAATTCTTAAATAGTTTAACCGTCACATTTTTGTATTCCCCACTTGTAAGATCTTGTTTCGTCTTTCCTATATCAAAATTAATTTATGAAGGACCTACCACTCAGTTCTCTTCCATTTATGGCACAGTTGTGCCCATATTGTAATTCATTAACTCTATTAACGTGTGGTCACGATTTCGCTCTATATTATTATAAAAGGTATTCATAGATTCGAAACGTATAATCAGATACTATCTGGTTGTTGGGTTGTTCTCTATTTTGGTTATCAGGCAAGCAATCATGGGAAACTGAGTTCTGGGCCAATAATTAACTAGTTACTCTTGAATGTTATCTCACATTCAGCATATCAATGGTTAGCTGACGGTCATTAGTACTAGATTTATAGTTTAGGCGAACTAGTTGATGCTCGGACTAGATCAGTACAACTGTTCTACTGCCCTATAGTCCGGTCTGATAGGTCCAAAATAACTAGGCAGTAAAATCTGTTTATTTTGACCGACACATTAGAAACTAAATGCATACATGTCAAAATGTATTAGAAGTTGTAACACTGAATGAAACTAGGAAGTAGTAATTTCCGAATCCAAGCGAATCCCACTTATTTATCAAGTTAACGTTTCGAATACATATTCAAAGACGTTCTGTAGTATTTCGATTTCAAATCACTAGGATAGTCAACATTTTATCTCGAATTTACTTAGAATGAAACATCGCTTAACAAACCGATTTTTATCCACTTTATACATAAATCTATGTTACTCAGACAATTATCAGCTCGCAACATCACAAAATTAAAGTCTAACTCGAAGGTTATGAAGTTAAGTCAGTTATAATCAACGTAGGATCAAGAAATGATCGGCATTCAGACAAAGCTGGTTCGAATTTCACATCATAGACAAGGGATTACAAGTTGCCATGATCGTCATCAAAACAAGAAATTTAACTTACCTGTGAAGAAAAAGTGCAAACTAAATAATTCGTTCTTGATAAAGCGAACACGTCAGTTACCACACCCATAATAGAATCTTCATTTTTTCGTCTGAAGACAGAAGCTGAATTAGCACGTCCGTGATTACCATAAAATATATAGTTGGGATACTTTAATTTAGTTTCATTAAATACACTAGGGTCGTCTGTAGCTATATACACACGTCGTTGTACTGGTTTTAATTGGTGATATACATTATGACGAAACGGCGATTTGATGTCATTTCTCCACTCCTAATCGAAAGAATTTATGAAACTTATTTTATACCAAAATAAAAATTACTAGATTATGTAACAACAAGATTTTGTATAAAAAATGCAAGATAAAAATATCAGAAGTCAACCAACACTGGATACATTGCTCGTTTCACAATGCACAGAAAACGTGACTGATTACAAACCATGTCAGGTATATCCACATGTCAAAGAATTTCTATAACTTAAGAAAAAGTTTACCAGCTCTGATACAGAGTACATCAATAATCATTAACTTGATAAAATAGTTTTGTGTCCTCGTATTTATTAATCCACTGCTAGTTAAAATGTTGAAATTTCTGTCTACATATTTGGCGAGCAATAAATATAACTGAACAACACTGATTTTAACTAGATTCTTATTAGGCTTTACTCCAATATATAGTAGCAATTACTGTTGAGCAATACAGTTTCGGAAAGAAAAAATTCACGACAGAGACGAACTGAGTGGATTGAATCTTCACAACTAGAAATATAAACATTATTTAACTAAAACAACTCAGAGACTTGAGGTAATTTCAGATAGTAATTATTGACCTATAATAGGATTATTAGACTTTGAGTGTGTTAGCTTATAAAATGAATATGTCATGTACTTTATTTGCAATGATCATGATTAGTTTATGAGCTGAAACACTGTTGTGATGTCCGAATTTTAAAAAGTGGTTAGCTTGTAGTGACTCACATTCATCACGAGAACACGACGGGTTTAATAAAACCAACTATTATTATAACCAACTGTACCAGTGTTTGTTTTAATGTGCTTTTGTTTAACTGTGCTAATTATAGCCATTTTGTGCTTCCATTACCTTCCATCATTGTTCCGCGGTTTTTGGTACTGTTCCCACGTACTCCTTTCTCCTGCTTCCACTTGTACCATTCCTTGGCACGATCTTGGTATTCGTTCAATACCACGAAATCGCCAACCAAATAAATCTGGTTACGTTCAACCTTCGCCTTCTGATTTACATGGCACGTGTTTCTTGTTAGCGGTGTTCATAGTTAATCTCGACTCGACACCACGCTACAATTTGTGACCTAAGTTCTGGAACACGCCTCAACCTCTGGTCAAATCTTCTAAAGAAGCCAATTCGAAGAGTCTATAGTTTATCTATCCACGTCCGTCGTATATTTTCATATTATCTTTTAATATTTAATATACACGACATGACGGATAGCGACAAGAATAGTATTAATGTTATAGACTCAGACGTACAGGCCATTCACTTTCGACCTGTATCATTCATTCCTCACGACCCAGAGGTTTGGTTTGCTGCATTAGTTTCAGTTCGAGACTCGTCGCATCACGAGCCAAAGGCAAAAGTACGCCTTCGTTCTCGAATCACTACCCGGGGACCATTTAGTAGCTGTACGTGAGGTCATCCTCAATTCCAATGTGCCTAATGTTTATGATCGCCTAAAAGAAGCAATTCTCCGACATTTCCTCCCATCGAGGGAGGAACGATTGAGGAGATTGTTAGCACGTCACCCCCTGGGTGATGCTAAACCAAGCCACCACCCCACGCGCCTGCAATCTCTTGCAGGACCAACAGCATCTGACTCGGAAATAGTTAAGGAATTGTGGTTCGAGTCACTACCAGCTCATATCCAACCTACTGTGACGGCACTGCTCGAAGACGCACCGCTTAACCAGGTAGCCCTCATAGCAGACAAAATTTTAGCGAGGACTTATAACAGAGACAGCTATGTAGTTGCTTCAACGGCACGTCCTAATGTGGACAGGGACGCCGATCACTCCCCAGCTCATGGCGACAGGGACGGGTGTATTTGTAACAGCTTAGGTTGGTTGGTTAAGAGTTGACCCCAAACAACCAAGCATGTGCCAAAACAGTATTGTTCAAGTATTCATTCACTTCCTTATTTTGTATAAGCGTTATATTCCCTAATATCTTATATTGAATGTTGAGAGCCTTTATTTGTCTGAACAGATAATCCCACGCTCCACTGTGATTGCGCGAAGATCGAAATAAAGACCTATTCACTACTTCTCTGGTTTCTTCTATCAATAGCACGAGGGTTACCTTAAGGCACGAAAGTGGTGAGCCCTTTTTGAACACAAATTCAATCTCATTTCTGTTATTAACATTTTTTTACTTAATCGCAAAAGTAGACCTGATTATCCGTCAACTAAGTTGAGTATATAACTAGTTTATCCCGCATTATCTTAAGTTTTTCGTGTTATAGTAACCATTTTTCGTGCTAACTTTATTGCTATATTTGTCACATACCTCATGTCAGACTCAACAGAAACCCATAATCTGGCGGATTTGTCACCAGTGAAGATAGACACTGTTATGACTACGAAACCACGACTTCCAGAATTTGATTGTAGTGATCCTGAGTTGTGGTTTGCTCAACTAGAGCATTATTTCACGAGACACAATATCAAAT